TGATATTAACCAATCGGAACCAAGTTAAAGATACAAATAGTTGATTGGACTACAAAATACATGTTAAGTAAATGAACGAATTAATTACAAATAAATAATTATAATTATGTCGGCAAAATAGTATTGATTATGTAAGCGATTGTATATTTGCCGTGCTATTGAGCCAGCTTAATTCTATGAATTTAATTGCGAGTGAATATAAAAATAAAAATCTAAAACGAAAATGAAACGATTGTTTTCGTTGACATAATAGACTTAAAATTCATCCAAGACGAATATTTCTGACACGCCTGTGTCTTTCTTCAGCGTTTACCTGTATGAATGAAAAATACAGAACAGATCAAAATTAAAAAAAAAAACTGTAATTAACCAAGATAAATCCTAAGATATTAGCCACGCAATTAGTACTGAACTGAACTAAACTTTATTGGAACATTTTGTATCAGTGGCACACACCATGGACCTATTAGGCGCGCACCATCTGGTTGTGCATTCAAATAATAAGCAATATTTCACAAAATACAAAGAAAAAGTATACAAAAAAAAAATCTAAAATGATAGAACAGTGAAAATCAATGAGTACAATGGAAGGAATATTCCATGACCAAGAGATGGGCTGCACAACTCGACAAGGCGGAGCCTAGCCGAATGGATCACTTCAAATTTCAGTGAATTACTCAGTCACTGCACTAACACGGTGTACGGTAAGAATGGCCACGGTAAAAATGACCCAGGGAAAAAGGGCCCGGTAAAAAGGGCCCCGGCAAAAATGGCCCCAAATGACAGGTAAGTAAAAATGGCCCCCAATAATAAAATTCTGTACTAAAACTGATTTAAAAAAAATCATTATATGCATTTTTAACTGAAATAATTTAGTTTTTAAAAGTAATCTAACATCAAATGATTTGCTATTTATATTTTACTTATTGCAGGAATTACATATTCAAAGATAAAATATTCAAAGATAAAAAAAGCAATGAATAACAGTTTGTATTTTTTTCCATTTAAATGTTAAAAAATAGCACCAACATAATCAATAAATCAACATAAATCATGCATTTATTAATACTAAAATATTTTATTTCTTTCAATCCGGGTTTTGGTAAACCCCACAAACAATGGGTTGATATGAACATTAAATTATTATTTTTTTTATTATAGAATAGCAAAGTCCTACAATCATAATAAACGGGTTTGGTTGGGGTTCGCAGTATGTTTGGAGGTTTGTGGTGTATTTGCAAGTATTTGTTCACAAAAAAATTCAACATTTTAACCAAAAAATAGGTTCTTATAAATGTAATAAACTTTCTTATTGATGTACCAAGTGAGTCAATCACAATTGAATTGTTAAGTTTTCTACAATGTGTTTTGAGAGGTTTGTGGGATTTAGCAATACAATTTAATCCTACCATAATTACCCTACCCTCACATAATTACACGCCATTTTAATTCTTAGCATAATTGCCATACTTACATAACTATGTATATATAGTATATCGCAGTTTACATTATTTAGTATAGTTTTTAAAAATAATAAATTGGTATTTGAATCTGTTTAACCATGAAGACTCCGTGGTATAATGGTTATGACGCTCGCCTTGACAGCGAGAGGTCGCAGGTTCGAGTCCCGCCAGAGGCATTTTATTACACAATTTCTTTATTCATTTACAGGACTACATTCGTTGAGAGCTATGCTACACGATGTATTATTA